AAAAATTAGCCAGGCATGGTGGTGCATGCTTGTAGTCCCAGCTACTCTGGAGGCTGAGTCAGGAGGATGGCTGGAGCCCAGGAGGTTGAGGCTGCAGTGAGCCGTGATCACACCCCTGCACTCCAGCCTGGCAACAGCGAGACCCTGTCTCAACAACACCACAACATGGTCTGGGACAACTGGCTATTCGCAGGCATGACATGGAACCTGCTCCCTTACACCAAACACAAATTTAAGTCAAAATGGATCAAAGACTTAAGGGTAAGCACTCAAACTATAAATTCCTCAGAAGGAAATGCACGTGTAAATCTTCATGGCCTTGAATTAGTCAATGGCTTCGTAAATATGACATCAAAAGCATAAGCAACAAAACAGATTAATGGACTTCATCAATTTTAAAAACTTTTATTCATCAAAGGACACTATCAAGAAACTAAAGAACCCACAGGAGAAAATATTTGTCATCTACAGAAGCGATCAATACCTAGGGTTCAGAACATACAGGAACTTCTGGAACTCAACAAGACGACAACCCAATTTTAAAATGGGCAAAGGATACAGATGCTCAAGAGGACATACACATACAAATGGTTACTGAGACCTGAGAAGGTGCCCACCATCATCAGCCATCAAGAAATGCAAATCAAACCCACAATGAAATAGCCCTTTTTTTTTTTTTGAGGCAGGGTCTCATTGTCACCCAGGCTGAATGCAGTGGCATGATCACGGCTCACTGCCGCCTCTACCTCCTGGGCTTAAGTGATCCTCTCATCTCAACCTCCCGAGTTCCTGGGATTACAGGAGCGCATCACCATGCCTGATTATTTTTTAAATTTTTTGTGGAGATGAGGTCTCACTATGTTGCCCAGGCTGACCTCAGACTCCTGGGCTCAAGTGATCCTCCTGCCTCAGCCTTCCAAAGTGCTGGGCTTACAGGCATGTCCACTGTGCCCAGTGGAAATATCAGTTTCTATTCCATGGAATGGCTAGAATCTAAAGGGCAGACAATAACAAGTGGTGGCGAGGATGTGGGGAACCTGGAACCCTTGGGCATTGGTGGTGGGAATGTAAACTGATACAGATGCTATGGAAAGCCTGGTGGTTTCTCAGAAAGTTAAACACAGGACTGCCATATGACCCAGAAATTCTACTCCTGTGTACCCAAGACAAATGAAAACATATGTTTACACAAAAACGTGTACATCAGTGCCCAATGCAGCATTACTCACGACAGCCCTGAATGGAAACAGCCTGAATATCCACCAAGATCAACCAAATGTTTATCCTGATCCATATGATGGACGACGACTCAGCCGTAATGAAGAGTAAGGTTCTGACACGTGGCACCATGTAGGTGCATCCTGAGAACATGAAGCCAAGAGAAGGAGCCAGTCATAAAGACAGCACAGCAATCCCACTCCTGCATGGTGCCCAGAGCAGGCCAGTCCAGGGACAAGAAGCCTGAGGTGGGTGCCAGGGTCTGGGGGAAGGGGAACAGGGAGTGATTGCTAATGCATGGGGTTTCCCTTTGGGGTAAAAAACTGTTCTGGAACTAGACAGTAATTGTGAAAACACCAAGAGCCAATGAGGCATATACTTTAAAGTAGTGGGAATGGTGACTTATCTCAAAACGAACATAAACTACTCACAAAAAAGTTGTCTGCAAACTTACCTCCAGGTTCTGGCCTGCTCCTCCTTGCAAGGGGAGGGAGAGATGGGAGGGCCCCGTGACCAGGTCCTGGCCAGACCCTCAGCCAGGGAGGCCCACCTTACACTCCTGGTCCTTGAGGAGCCGGCGGCTTTAAGCGGAGCTCAACCTCCAGCCCCAGAGCCATCTCTGCCCATCTTCACAGAGGTGGGTTGTTGGGGTTGAAGCTACTGCTTTTTGGGCAAAGCTACCACGTGCCTGGAAGTGGGCATGTCCTCTGAGCCTCTGGGCCCCCAAGAAGCTCCTCTGTTGCAGTGAAGCCACGGGGCACAGGAGGCGTGGTCCTGTCCGGCTCCAGAGTGAGGTGTGCCTTCAAGGACCTGTGTTCTGATGGCTTGCGGGGTGTGAGGAGCTGCCAGCCCAGGTGGGAGCTTGGTAGGTGAGACCTCCCTGACCCTCTGGCTTCATCCTTCTCAACACTGGAGTTGGCACAGCATGGCAGACTGATGGCCTTGTGCAGCCCGCTTCTCCAAACCAACAGCCTTCCCCATCAAGGACTCACCATGTGCCAAGGCTCCCTGCTGAGCCTACACGCTTCACCTGGTGGAGTATCTCCCACGACACAGCTCCCTGCCGAGCCCCTTACACACTTCACCTGGTGGAGTA